CCTCGGATAGCATTAGGGTTATTAGCAGCCTCTGGCCCAGAGAGGGCATACACTCGTGCTGGTACTGTAGGTCTCTGATCATTACCCCTATTTTGGTTTTGATAGCAGAATCTAGCAATATGACCAGGCTTCTGACAGATGTAACAAACCCAACAATCACCAGAATGAAACTTCCCACACTTACTGCATGCTTGATTACTAGCAGCACTAGGAGTAGGATTAAAGGTAGCTGGGCTCCTATAGGACCCTTGACTTCCACTCTGATTCCCTCTGTAGCTCTGGCCCTTATGATAGTAGCCCTTCTTCTTCTGATTTCTAAAACCTCCAAAGATTTGACTGCTCCTCTTCTCTACTCCACCAATGGGTCGGGTGTGGATAGGGGGCTTCCCATGAGGTTCTTTCCTCCTCTCTCTATCAGCTTCTAATCTAGCCTCTCTCTTCCTCCGAGAAACTATTCGAAGCTTATTGCACATCTCACTGAATGTCTTGATCTCAAAAGGGGCTAACTGTTCCCTTAGATCAGGCCTCGCCTTCTCTAGTAATCGTTCAGCCATCCACTCCGTGTCTTCATGTTTCTGGAGGTAAGTAGAGTATTTAGATAATTCTGAGAATTGTTCAATAAATTCATCCTCATCTAAATCACCCTGGCGGAATGCATGAAACTCAGCCTCCTTTTCTGCTCTCAGTGCAGTAGGAAAATAATTCTCGAACAATATGGCTTTAAAATCTTCCCAAGTAAGAGAGGAATCATCCTTCGGTCCTGATGTTTCCCACCATTTCTTAGCACTCTTCTGTAGTAGGAATATTGCCAGCTGCACCTTTTGATTAGAAGTGCACACAACCATACGAAAAATACTCTCCAATTGATCTATCCATTCTTCAACCACCGCCGGCTTAAGATTTCCATCGAAAGTAGGAGGATTAAACTTACGAAAAGTACTCCAGATCTTTGTGATCGTGGATGTCTGTTGCTCAGAGTGGAGACTCACATTCTTCGGACTAGTCTCATGGTGAGAATAGGAAGGTAAGCCTTCATCAGCAGATTGGCTCGCATTGAATACCTTGGTATGGCTTCCTTCTTGTTGGCCATTTCCCTCTCGGTTGTCATTCTCCTTATATTGTCTTAAAGCGGCCAATTCTTCTTCTTGTCTCTTCATGCGGTCACTAAGATTATATAGTAGATCCATCATTTGCCTCATGGTTGGCTCATCCTGCCTTAGTTGTGACTGTATGGGCTCGCCCTGCCCAATTTGTTGCTGTGTGGGCTCCGGTTGTGGCAGTGAAGGTATGTCATTTCCTATTGGCTCTATAGAATCACCGACAATTTCGCCACCTCTCCTAGTTTTGGACACCATCTCTCCCCTCCTAAAGGATGGAAGTCACATAATTAAATTAACACTAATCTCAAGACAAGAAAAATAATGGAGAAGTATTATGATTTACTAATGTATATTGCCAATAAACTAGGTTAATGTATAACAATTTCATAATTTATAAGAATTGGAAACATGTAGCTCTGATACCAAAATTTGTAACACACCAAAATTTTTTTTTTTAAATAATTTAACTCAACCATAGTTGGGTTACAGCCACCCAACACATTTTTATATCAATAATTTCAATATAAAATATTTTATAATTGGCTTCAACTCACACACTATAACATTTCAGATAAATTTTTACCTCCCACATGCCATTAGGCTAAATCACATTTGTCCATCCTTATACTCCCAACAAGTAAACTAAATCACATTTGTCCATCCTTATACTCCCAACAAGTAAAATAAGCAATTTAATCAATTTTCAACACAAGCCAGTTATTTGACCTTATAATCATGCCATTTTAACCAATCCAAAGTAAACCAAATATTAAAATTACAGTCATCCAAATTGTACCAAAAATAGAAATAGTTTGAAAGGCATGATTACATTTATATATTCATATAATTGACAATAAACAAAAAGCCCTAATATTGGCAATATAACACATTATAAATCATAAATTAAATACCCAAAAGAGACAGTGGATCTATACCACTAAGCCTCTGGGACTCCTCCACGTGTCACTCGTGGCTCTTCTCCTGAAAATTGTTAACCACATAATGAGACTCAAAAGTCCCAGTAACCAAAGCCAATTTATGATAGTGTATACAAACAGTTAAGTGTGTGCTTACTAAGTGAGAATTAAAAATAATATAATTCCAACAAATATAAGAAATATTATAATAAACACAAACAACCATCCTTATATCCTCGATAGCCTCACTACTAAATCCTAAATACCCGAACAAACCACCTATTGAGCTCCAATAGGGGCGTACCACGTGGCACATAATTACAACAATAATAGCAAGTCTCCCAACACCTCCCACAATAAATAAACAAATTCATAATAATATTGCACAATTATACAATATTACAAAATTCATAATTTTCTCAATAATCACCCAATTAACATGAAGTAACACTAATCATAAATTAAAAGCATGGTTACCTTGTGGCTTTTTCAATAAATTATTCCTTAAAATTTCTCTCTCTCCACAATCTTCACCAGTAATACAATCTACAAATAACATATTATTTATAAATATTAGTTTCAATTTTTGAAACTAATAAAATAATTCTAATAATAGAATTAAAAATATAACATAATTCCTAATCTCAATCTTAATACAAATCTATAGTTAATACTATTAAGTAAAATTTTTAACTCCTCTTTTAATTATCAATAAACATTAATAATCTAAAAATCAAATTTTAAACTAATTTCTATTATCAAAATTTTCTTTTTATTTTATAAATTCGTACCTAAAATACCCAAAAATTAAAAATTGAGTCTCTAGCTTAGAATCATAATCCTATAACCATAATAATTCATTTCTCATCCCAAATAATCATCTAAACCTCAATAAATCAACATATATTTTCAGATCTAGTTTAGAATTTGATCCATAAGCCATAAATTCAAAGATCATTAACAAATTTATACTCTATAACATTTATTATACTACTGACAACCTCAAAAACCATATTTATTCGACATAAATTCATCCCTCTTTCAGATCTTAAATTTTCTACCACTACAAACTCAGAAACTAAAGAAGAAGGATGACTAAGAAAAATTTTTAGAACACTTACTTAGTCTTGAAAAGCTTAAAATCACACCCTAAATATCCTATTAAAAACTCTTACCTTAAAACCCAGCACCGGTGAATTTGGCTCACAGATGCTCTCTCTGCCGAAGCTCACGCACGAAAGAAGGAATGAAGAAATGAAGGAACAGGTGAGTTTTTATAAAAATTCAGTGGGTCCCACATTTTTTTTAATTATTTTCTCTCTCTTCTTCTTCTTTTCTTTTTATTATTATTTTATTATTGTTACTGTTGAGGCGGCGGACGAAGCAAATTCGCTTTCTTCTTCTTCTTCTTCTTTTCCTTTCTTTCTTTTTATTATTATAATAATAATAATTTAATAATATTTTATTTTTTTTTATTTTTTTATTTTTTTTTTTTTTTATTTTTTTTATTTTTTTTCATACCTTTTTTTTATAATAATAATTTAATAATACTTTTCAAAATTTTTATTAACCCAAATTAACTATTAAAATTTAAATTGGGATGTTACAATTTGCATCTATGATGGAAGAGGTTGGCATGTGGTGAAAATGATGTCGCACATTTAGCTGAAGGGCCTTTGGATATGAATTGTAAATGTTGCAAGCAATTGTCTAATCATTTTTTTATGATATCTCTTATGTATGATAAAATAAAAGTATGCTTTTCATAATAATGATCTAAGATATTCTAAAAGTTTTATCATTTTTTATGAAAATATAAAGGGGCATTCTAAAAAGTTTATCATTTTTTATAAAAATATCAATGAACATTCTAAAAACATTAACAAATATTTAAGGTTGTTAGGAAAGAAGGAAATTTTGATTTTTTTTCATTTTATTTTATGTCACAAATGACCTTATATTTGAAAAGTTTGAAGTTTCTCCTCACAATTAAATTTGTGATAAGGTCTTATTGACAGTTTTTTTCTACAAACAACATTCTATATTTACAAGAAAAAAAACAACGTTAAGCATTAGTTCAACATAGTTCATCCAAGCCAAAAAAAAAAAAACAGTTCAACAAAAAAGGTAATCTTTGTTATTAAAAAAAAAATACAAGAGACCGAGGCGAGGAAGATAAAGAAGATAAGAGAAATAAATTGAAACAAAATAAAGAGGAACTCTTGTGCACTTCATCAAACATGCAGTAACTTAATATATATTCATTATTTTATAGGCATCAAACCCTTAAATTTTATAACAAGGATTACAATATAGAATAAATCAACATAATAGTAAAATATATAACATTTGGGTGTTATATGTATTAATCACGAAAACTCTCAAGATGGTATTTATGTTGCAGGTTATTTAATTTTAATTAAAAAATAATAAAAGATAACTTTTGAAGGATTATATACATTCACAATTATATTACAATCTCAAGTTTATGCATATTAAACACAGTAAATAATAAATTTTACTATAGTAACAATTGACTCGATCAATACCCCAACGGATTTATATTTTATTAGGTAACTACCAGGTAATTTCATTTTCATGTTTTAAAATATAAAATATAAATACATATAACACATAATGGCCCTCGCCCAAGAGATTCCCTCCACGCCATCCAGCAGACGTTCAGGCGTTCAACTTCAACACATCCCCTTGGTGATATATTAATATAAGATTTAAGTTTTAAAAAACAGTAGAACCTTTGCAAAACTGAATTAATATTTCTGCAAAGTATGGCAAGGAAAAAGCATCTTTGATCTATTACACGAAACAATATATCTGACATAAAGACAAAACTGGTAAAAAATATTTGACCGAAAAAATATTGATGATATATTAATATCAATGTATTACTACATTTCAGACCCAGAACGTACTACTACATTTAATAACTAATAATAAGCTACATTATTCATTCTTAAAAAAAAAAAAAAAAAAAACAGTGTAGACCGCAGGAAAGCCTCCAGAGCTTTCTTATCAGTATTTCTTGACAACGTGATAGTTAGAGGAAATCGGGGGAAGACAACGCTAATCTTTGGATGAACTTGGGAAATGGAGGACGATGAGGCCAGGCGCGTGCTGGGCTTCGCCCCCAATTCACGCCCCACGCCTTCTGAGGTACCTTAATTTTCATCCCTCTTCTTCTTTTTCTCCAACAATTTCAGTGCTGGGTCTTGACTAGGTAATTCATAAAACTTTTGGGTCTGGGTTCTTTTTTAGCGACTGCGAAATCGAATTTACTCCCTAATGAACTGAATTTCAAATTCCAAGTTCTAGTCATTTTTCATTTGAGTTTCGTTTTCAGTTAGGGCTGTGTAATATGACGATCGTGAGTGTAGTGTTTTGTCCTAGTCTTGCGTCTCGCATAAAAGCAGATGTTCTGTAGGTTGATGCTGGTTTTCTAATTTGACGCTAGTTATTGATTAGGTTAAAGCAGCTTACAAAAAGAAGATATGGGAGTCTCATCCTGACCTATTTCCAGCCCATGAAAAGCCTCAGGCAGAGTCCAGATTCAAACTGGTGAGCTACATATATGAATTGTCATAACTCTTGGCGTTGCATATCCACGTGGATGCTTCACCTTTCATATCTTATTGGAACGCACTTTAGAGTAATGTTATCCCTGCTGGCTAGTTCTAATATTTATCTGGATTTTACTTAAACAAGAAAAATCCTGGGTGTTTGATATTAGGTTTTTTAATAAACAAATGGCGAGAAAACTTTAGACCCTGTCATTTGGCGTTGAGATGTAAGAAATAGTTACTATCTTTAGTTGGGAAAAAATGATTGCAAACTCTTAAAATTTATACCTGAGTTTTTCCCTATTTCGATTTTGTGAAAATGTTACAACAGCTATTACAACAGCTATTAGTTCTAAAAGCTTAATAAATGATAGAGCACAATGGCGTCTTGCAATCCATGTAGCCGACCCCACCTAGTGGGATAAAGGCTTGTTGTTGTTGTTGTTGTTGTTACAACAGCTATGTGGAATATGGAGTTGGGACTGGTTGCTTAAAGCTGGCTTATGGCTGTAAATTATTTCAAGTCTTACTGTCTTAGCTCTAGTTTGGTTTCGCAAGATGTATTACTGGGTATTATATTTCCTCAACCTGTGTTATGAATGAAGATGATGATCATATATCTGGATTTGATATTCATGCTGGGGGCACTAGACTCTGTATGATATGATATCCAGTGATAAAAGTTTCCATTGAATGCTGTCAACATACAGAGAGTGTATTCTCTCTTATCACAGAACCTAATCCTCATTGGTCAAAGCTCATTCTCTCACTTAGCCCCTCCACACTTGTCCCATTCTGGCCATGATTTTAACTTGCATCAATTTGACTTAACTTTGTAAAAGTTGGTTTACTGGAATAGCGGAACGAATTTCCTCAGTGAGGATTTTTATACCATCTTCCATTCGAAAGTGTTGGACTTGGGCACATAAAAGTGACGGGACTCTATCCCTGTCAGCTGCTAATTGACCAACAAAGCATATAATATTTACTCATTCAAAGGAGGAGTAACTAAAAGTTTCTGTTTCACTGCAGATTTCTCAAGCTAATGCATGCCTTCTGTCTGGTAATCCTCCTGTCCACTGTATAAAAGTATCCCATGATAACATGGTTTGGAAATTCCTAAATGGACTATAGATATTACTGAAGAGTTTTAAAGGGATCAGTTGATGCATAATTTCAGAAATTAGTAAACTGTTATTTTTCTGATTTAAGGATAAAACGACATTCAATATCTGATATTTTTCCAAGCCCTGGAAACATGGAGAATAAGAGCAAACTATTTTCTGTTTCCAAATTTTGAGTTTGATTCACATTTATTATTGTTAAAATTATAAGGTTATTGGTCTTGCTGAATTTTTTCCCCAATAAAACAAGATGATAAACGAAGGTCTTTGCGTTATATTCTCTGCGTCCCCTGATTATTCTGCGCATGTCCTTGATATTAAGGGAAGGATAAGTCATTCTAGGCCTTTACACGCTTAAATTTCAATAAATGTGCTTAAGCTGCATTGTCTGACCGAGCAAATAGACATATGTTTATTTCAATATATTTTATTACTCTGATATTGTTTATGCCAGGCTTCCTGAAAATCTCACTTTTCCTGGTAATCATGGTACAATAGATGCTATATTTTTCCATTCTGATCCTTTTGTCTATTAGCTGCTGGTGTTGGTGACATTACAATGAGGTAGTTATGAGGCCAGATAAGCTGACCATGAGTTAGTCAGTCTAAGATCATGAATTAACGTTCAAGATTAACGCAAAAAAAATTAAATACATGTATGGCATATTCATAATTATTTTTTCATTTATTCCTTTCACATATAGCGTAACATCACTTTCTAATTTTATATGCTTCATATGTGTGTGTGCATGGGCGCCCTGCCGAAAGTTCTGAATACAAATCTTGTTACAGGTGGGAGAGGAGATGCTCTAAATTCAGGTAAATTTATAATCATGTTCCTCCCGGTGTACTACGCATTACTTTTTTTCCCCCCGGCCTGCTTATGTTTTGGATGCAACGCAATTGTTGTTTAGCTGAGTATTCAAGAGTTGTGAGAACTGGAGTCCCGAGGGCCAGTGGAGGCAGGAGAAATCATCCTTTAATTAAAGCACCCTTCATTTTCATTATTCTCGGTACAGTTGCACTTGGAGGCTTAAATGCTGCGAGGTGATTGACATTCTCAACCTTACAGCTGATTATTTCTCATTTTTCTTGCTTATACAATTAGAATATTGGACTGCGCAAGTGTTGATCTGTTCTGCAGGGCATACAAAAAGCAAAAGGAAGACTACCCTTCGCACAATCCATTTCTTCCTTGATGCCTTGGAATCGGGACTTGCACGTTTTTGTGTCTTTGTTGGAGGCAGAATGACTGAGGGCCTGTGCCTTGTCTTCTGAGTTCTGATCCAGGTTAATCCTTCTGATTGGGGGTATTCTTTATAATTAAAAATAATAGAATGAAAAATAATTTTAAAGATTTTTTAAATTAAAAATAAAAAACTTATTATCAAATAATTATAGTATAAGAAAATATTTTCATACCAATTACACGACGAGTCATATGATGTTTCTGTTACCAAGTTTCATTTGTTATTGTGTTATTTAATTTTTTTTCCTTCTTGTGAAACTTATCTACCAACCAGACTACCACTTTTTGTTCTTTAGAATTAAAGATCTTTTTGTATTAAAAAAATTAAATATCTTTCCTATGTATGCAATGCAGAAAACATCTGATAATTTAGGAGTGCATTATGTTGCTTCTTGAAGCTTTTTTTTTTTTTTTTTGGCCAAAAGATTTCTCGAAGCATTGGATGAGCAGCATTATATCGCCTATCTTTAAATCCATATTAACCACAAAAGGAAAGTTTAAGAAGGAGTCTTATTGGGAGAAGATGTGTTTGTTGACTTAATATTAGTTATATATTTTTGACGTATGGCATAAAATTTAACGTTTGAAAATCAAAAGTGAAGGTGTACTTTAGAGATCAAATCGATATGTATAAATCCTACTCAATTTATGCACAAAGATGGCTCTGCAGATGTAGTTTGGAGGAAATATTTAGTTCCTAAAATTATAATCAACTTCGGTTGTGGTTTTTGTAATTTTATCAAGGATTGATCTTTAAAAAGTTTCTTAATTTTAGTCAAAATTCCTACAATTACCAATATCATTTGTTACATTAGAATATATCATTATCACATTGGCAACATGTCATCTTCAAGTACCTTGATTGAAGTTAACCATAAATTTTATGAATAAATTTTTAATGAAAAAAAAAATACAATAACACTCAATTCAAGCTAACTATTTCTCTAGATATCAAAGCTATATTTTCTCTTTAAATTTCTGAAAAGGTTGGGGAGTCTAAGTTGTTTTAACTTTTAATCTCAAATATCTGTTATCTGCTTTGTAAAATTTATTTTCCTTTTTTGAAGGAAAAAAAAGAGAGAGAGAAAGGAAGATATCTCTAAAATCTTGTTTTTAAAAAATGATGCTTAAGTTTTAAAAAATTAATTTAATGACAGTTAAATTTTTAATTTTTTTTTCTAAAAGTAAATAATTACAAGTATGGGAGTTTTGATTGTAAAGTCATTTTTTCCCGATGAAAAAAGAAATATTATTAAACAATAACACTACAAACGGAAAAGGGAAAAGACACCAAGGTCTCGTTGCGGTTTGAGTTGTCTGTCTAGGAAATGAAAATACGAAAGTTTCAGTAAATAAACACCAAAAAAAAAAAAATTGAACAAAGTGAAGAAACAAACATTTGATTGAACGGAAAATAAAAGGCCTGTTGTAGGGCTGTAGTTGAAGCTTTCCAACTGTGCTTAAAACTTGATAGCACTAGGAATGTACCAGTTGTCGATTCCAACTGATCACAATGCATCTCTCTCGAGTAGATACATTCTATCGATATGAGACAAATTGCATCATCTAGTGTTGCAAGGAATTACGCAACTGATTTATTGCCCCAGTTTTTATGTGTTTACACCTCAGGAGGCTTTAAGGCCACGGTATAATGATATGAGAAAAGCCAATATTTTGGACGACTTGTTGCTTTAGTGGTGGCATCAGTTGGCGTAAAATTCCTACTTGCAAATCAAATCTGACTTTGAGAAAACCATATAATAACCAACATGTGAAAAGGTAGAATGTCCTGAGCTTCAATATTGGAATGGATTAAGTGATAATGATCAAGCCAGAATAATAACCACATTTGTATTGACCATCCAGGATTAAAATTAATTGAGATTTAAACAACTGCCAAACCAACAAGCACGAGCAAAATCACAACGTAAGAAGAGATGAGAAAGAGCTTCTGTTTCAGCTGACAGAAAGGGCAATTTCCTTAACAAAGTTGAAGTTTTTAATCTATTCCAAGCAATTTTCCAAAGATGACTTTCAAACGAGGTTGTAATTTGCAATGCCGAATTCTAGACCAAGGAAAATGAGTTGGCAAAGGATATGTAGAACCAAGAGACAAACACTACAAATAACCCTCTTTAACAAAATACAATCCCATCTGACTCGTGGACCAAACCAAAACATCATCTTAATAATGAAAAGGGATAGGGGTTGAGAGAATAGACAACCACATCCAAAGAATAAATAGAGCGAATTAAAGAAGCAATCCAAATAATAGAATCGCGCGGTACAAGGTTAGATACCCTCCATGAAGAAGGGATATTACCTAATTGTACGGTGATTTGTAACTAAATTCTTGTATTTACAAATATATAAATCGATATTCATCGCTTATTTTTGATAACTTTCGTAAAACTTGCCTTTTTATTAAATTGATCTTTTGAGAATTAAATGTTACTCTCACTTTAAAAAATGTATATGCACAAATCCAAAATATTCAGATAATTGATCACCATATGAGATGATAATACCTAATAAACTGCACCAACGGACTTCAATCATTGTTCTTTTAGTATTAACACGAGATATCAACTAGGTATATAGAACAAAACTTGAAATTATGTTCAAAACATATATCTTCAACCTCCAAATCTACATTCTTTGTGTGGCAAGCCTTGAATAATAGGTTCTGATCTAATCCTAACTTGGTTAAAACACAAGCAAGTCGAACAAACTCAAAATGCAGAATTGGACCTAACCCCTAATTCATACCAAAAAAAATAGGAAATTAACATATGCTCGATCTGCGTCGTACGTTGCAAGGCTCCAAGCAACTTGATTCTGACTTGGTTAAAACACAAGCAAGTCGAACAAACACAAAATGCAGAGTTGAACCTAAGCCCTAATTCACACGAAAAATGGGGAATGAACATATGCTGGCTCTGTGTCTTATGTTTCAAGGTTCCAAGCAACTTGATTCTGACTTAGTTAAAACAAGCAAGTCGAACCACCTCAAAATGCAGAGTTCGACCTAACTCCTAATTCATACACAAAATAGGAAATTAACTTGCTGGCTCGGCGTCTTACGTTACCAAGCTCCAAGCTACTTGATTCTGATCTTGCTCGTCAAAATATAGCAGACGGAAATGTCAAGCAACTTGAGATCTAAATGGAATAAAAGGAGGGGAAACAATGCTTCAGGGAACATATTTTCTCCAGGCAATACCATATGTAGAGCAATCAAAAACTTGTGCCAGCAGAGGCTCCTACAACTTTCTTCTGGAGCTAAGATTAAGGTTCTCCAGCGAGTAGATGGACATGTGCAGAGAGTTTAAAGCCTAACATCATTCTACAAATCCCTCTAACATTATTTTTGCGGAAATATCCCATTCCCCACCATAAGATCCAATAGACCATTAATATGGTTTTACGTTGTGATTTGTCATAAAGCCAAATTCTGCTGGTCACACAAAATACTTTAACTCGGAACGCTTTCTGTATCACCCTCCACTCTCTTTAAGCATAATAGTAATCGGCTGCCATCCAGACTGAGGAATTATTATCCATTTCTTGACCGTGATTATCATATTCAAGATCTGAAGTACCTCTCCTAACATAAGCTCCTTAAGGCATTCTTTCCTTAGAATTAAAGATGCTTCATATCTAATAAAAATATAACAACGAAGAAATGTAAACAAATTGTTGGTAAAAGATACAGGAACCTTAAACAAGTAAATTTGCTTAAAATAAAATCTACCTGCACTGGGAAGACAAAATTGCTGAGCGCCCAGATGATGAAGCAAGGAAATCTTGTATTCGATCCCATGTTGTTTTTGGGTACTGACTAACATTTTCACCTTTAAGGTTTATACAATTCCAAAGTTTCTCGTTTCTAGTAACATAAAAGTGCAAAGCACCCAGTCTTCGTTTTATTACCACATTTAGCTTGACTGCACAATCTAAGGCCTTCTTGACATCAGTAGTTCGATATTTGGAATCTCCATAAGAAATGCAATCAGTTATATTTGCTTCAGTTGGCATAACCTTTTCAACCTTCAGAGTATTTAAGGCTAGAAGAACAACCCCAATGAGGCCTTGCTCATACTCAGAAGGTGGTGGACATCCCTGAACTTCCAAGATAACATTGTTCGAACTGGTATTGGCAATTCCAGTGAAGGAAGGAGAAAGCAAACGTTCAGAACCACGGGGATGCCTCTGGTTCAAGTTCTCATAATGAAATACTTGGCCACGTGATGGGTCATGACCAGCAAGGTGTACATCGAAGCTATGTAGATTAGGAGATTGAGCAGTACTTGGATTAGAATCTTCTCTGGTTCGCTGATGACAAATAGGAGTACTTTTGACATTGCTAGGATGTGGAGAATTAGGTACCTTAGGTATGTCATAAAATGAATTTGGGATTGCAGACAATTTGGATACATCTGAATGGGGAGGAACTGGTTGAATTCGAGTATGAGAATCAGGAAGAGGAAAACTCAGTCCAGACATGGGCTGTATATGAAGGTTGGTTGACCGCAAAGAACTATGATAGAGATCCCGAGGAATTTCACTAGAGTTGCCCATTTTATTTTCTAAGCAATCTTGGTTGCTTGGAAGGTTAGGAGTAGACCTACTGTTTGGGACTACGGGCACACTACTAAAGAAGAATTCATGCGGAGCTTTTCGGAACAGCTTCACTGGTGATTGCACTTGTCTAGGATGATCATTGTTCTTACCTTCTGAACCAGTGACAAGTAAGCTTGAAGAGCTTGATAGGTTAGACTGATTGTCATTTTTCGAAACATGTTTTACTTTGTGTTTCAAATGACCAATGCTTCTAGCAGTATAGGTATTTTGACTGCCCATATCAAGGCTTTCGGAACTGAGAACCAGTGGCCGATTTATTTGATTTGGCTCAGCAACTAGGCTTTGAATCCTCTCAGAATTAGAGACATGGTTACCACTTGCAGGGCATGATGATTCGCCACTTGATAGTGGGGCCCCACCAGCTAAAAGGCTCGTCCAGAGCCATACACATTTTGCTGCTGCGACTAGAGGAGCTGATGCTTTTGGTGGTTGTGCTAGAAGAATGTTGTATTTTCTCAGGCGCAACTGATGCAGAGCATTTGAGAAATCCCTATCTCCAGAAATCAGCAAATAATTTGCAGGAGCTGCGTTATCTACTGCCCATAACAACATATCAACTAGAATTTTCTTGTCACTGGCATCTTTCACACCTGTAACAACTTCACAACGTCAAATTAACACCAAAAAGGCATGCAGCTACTTTGCCATCTTCATCATACTTAAGCGACTACCTTCATGCTTAAATGGTAACATTACCATCCGAGAGCATACAAGAGCAGAACTTATGTCAAAACTCTTTGACTACACAATGCCCTTATGACATGGGAAGAAGGGAGTATTAATATGCGCAGACGGTGAATACTAAATATCCCAAATAACAGCAACATTATACTTCTTTGGAAAACTGGTGCAGAGGAACTATAGACTCCACAGCAACAACATTTGGTAGCCACACAAACATCGATCTATTTAGATTTCAGACTCCAGGATGAAAAGGGGAAAGAATAGACAAATGGCCCAACAAAAAAAAAAAAAAGTCTCACAACGCAAGATTCACCGTCGAACCAGACTTATTCTTCTTTCCTCGGGTAAGGGAGAAAAAATAAAAACGAAATGGCAATGAAACCAGAATCCACGAAAGTACAGATGAGGTGTTTGCCAAAAGCTTCACAGCGATTAAAGCATGCTTCAGGCGGCAGGGTAAAAGGGAACAAGAAACGAAAGGTTGAAGATAGAAGGAAATGAATACCGGCTGGGATGTGGTTGAGGGAAATTCCGGTGCTAGAAAGTGCTTTCTGAAGGAAAGATGGAATCCGACTTGTGTCGCCGTAGGCGGAGATGGAGACGGGACCGCAATAGTTCATCTTCACGAGTGCGGAACTAATATTCTGAGCAATGGCGTGAGGGTCGCGGCCCTTGGGAACTTGGCAGTTATCAATGTCCCACCACACAGAGATCTTTGCTGAGACGTATTGCGGCTCCGCTCTTGCGCTACCGGCCGCCCCCGGCGCACAAGCGATGACATTGTAGTCGTTTCGGTTCACGTCTCCAGCCATTGGCACGCAGATTGTGCAGTCAACCCTCAGAAAATTGGAAGATTGACAGAGCTTGGGCAACTTGAATGTTGAGAGGACTGAGAGGAGGGTTTTACGATCGAACTTTGAAGGCGGCAACTGCTAATTTTTAATGTTCGAAAATCTAAGAAGATATTACGTAAATTCAATAAAAGATATTTTTAATTAAATTTTATATTGATGAAGTTTCTGATGTGATGGAAATTTTCTAATATTTTATTTATAATTAAAATTTTAAATTTATAATTGTTTACAACAATATCTCAAGCTCTTTTTCCAAAAAAATGGTTAAAAATTCAACAATTATTGATTTATTTTTTAAAATTTAGTTATCATTCTCTCACAATAATGTCCCCATTTGATATGATAAGAATTTTTTATGGAATAAGAATTGGAGCTGAAATTAAATAAATTTAAATTTTAAATGTATGTTTGGTTTGACGATGAAATCTTGATATAATTTTAATAAATATTTATACTCAACACAAAAAAAAAAAGCCAAGATAACTTTTTTCTCAAAATTAAAGACCTCGTGTGTCATTTACCTTGTTTTTTCTTCTTTTAGCCAATATGAGTCACCGATGGCAAAGCTTAGAGCCACTAGTTGAAATCCCTACCCTTTCAACATTCAAAAGCTCAGCACTCCTTCCAACCACTTATGACATCCAGCAAATCTACTTTTAGCTGCAAATCTACTTGTACCTATTGATATCACTACCCCCTTTCAACTTATACTAATTTTTTTAAAAAAAACAAGAAACCATAATGGATTGAAAATTGCATGGAATCTGAAACTTTAAGGCAAGAGCAAGAACATGGAACAAAACATCACTGGGGAAATTTCTAGAGCAAGAACAATACCAATGGCTAAGATCAAAGGTAGAGATGGACAGGAAGTTCAAAATGTTAGTAGATGGAGGAAAATTGAAGTCAAGACATTAATGGGTAGGGGAGTTGACTTCTATCTTGTCTTTACTCATTGCTGATACAAGCTGCAGTCAGCAATCAATTTTACAATTGCCAGCTATCTTGCCATCTCTCATCATTGATGAATGTTTAACGACTCTCTTGGCTTCACAACCCTATAATAGAGGTTAGATCATGAAAGAGATGTTGGTGACAATGATGGAGTTGGGCTTACGAAGGTAAATATGATGACGATGATGGTAAGGTCAATATGTTTAAGAGATGAATTTCATATAGATTGAGCCAATTCTATTGTACTTGTGATGGAATTGAAGTTTGCCCATTTTGTTGGAATCATGATTCTTGAGAATTCAGATGCTGCCATACTAAACATGTTAAAAATCTAGATTCCATATTCAATTTCATTTTCAAATGTAGAATAACTACACACCAAATAAGGCCTAAAATGGTTGGGTGGTGGGTAAATGACCAAATAAAAAAAAATATTAAAATAATAATATTTCAAGACCTAGAAATATCGGCCAGGCAAGTTAGTTCATCGCTAACATTTTAAAATCATACATATGCACGCGTGTGAAATTGTAACCTTATTTTTGTTGGTTGTTATTATTTACTTTTATAGTCTTAAATCTTCAAGGTGGACAAGAAAGAAGGTTGGAGTCCTGGGGAGGGGGGAATCTAACACATACAAGATTATCTTGAATTTTGATGTAGTTAGCGTATAACTCTTCTCATTTTGTTTAAGCGTTTAAAATTAACCTTCACATTTGTCATATCAAATTAATGAAATACGTATGGCAATTGACAAAAAGAAATTAATTATTTTTTTTACACAACTTAAGGAAGAATTATGTAAATAAAAAATGCACATGCTGATGCGAGCGCTTTATTGACGAGCAATTTATAAGTATTTATGTAAGTGCTTTTTAAACTCGGAGTCATGTTAACCTAATGAGCCCTTAGAACCCAACTCACATGAACTTTTCTCAAGAAAAAAAAAATCACTTGAAACAAGAAAACGATGTGCCACCAATAATCGAAAAATATGAATAAAATTTTCATAAAGTGATTATTTGCTTATATAGGATGACACATAAGCTGTTATATGTATTTTTTTAATATAAAATGGTATCTTTTGTTAACAAAATAACTTTGAAATAATGGTCAGAGAATCTGTAATAGAAAAATAAAATGTTCGTGAGAGGTTAATTGTAAACTTTAAATGTGAAGAGGGCTTTGTACAACTACCTTTAAATTTAGAAGAATTTAGCACGCTATAGCCAAAGAAAAAAACTAAAGAGATCAAATGAACTTGCAGAGGAAAAAACGGGGGTTTGGGGAGGAAAATGATAAGAGGACTTTGGTCTTGCATAATTTGGGCAAATCCGAAAGCTAGCAGCCCAGCACTGAACAACCACGTTGAGACCCGACAACCATTTTCTTTTTCACACTTAGCGTGGCTTTTTGTTGTTGTTGTTGGTGGTGGTGGGGTTAATACATGCTTAGTGTGGCTGCTTTTTTTTTTTTTTAGTACACGCTTAGCATAGCTTTACGTCATCATTTTTCATTATCAGGATTCAATATTATTGACCAAGCAAATTTTGATTATTCACAGGTTCCAAATGAGAAATTAAGGGAGTAATTCCATCTTGCATTTCGCCAAAAAATTAAACAAATCTTGTTTTAGAAAGCCCTTTCAACCCATGGCCTTGGTTGATTTTTCACCTAACTTCCTAACTTATTAAAGGGTCGGGGGAAAGAATTTGTTGTGGTTGGTTACTGTTAAAAAAAAGGTACATGGTAATTGTTTCCCGTGCAGGTGAACAGCAAAAGTGACCACTGACAAGCAAAGCAGGGGATCGCGGGTCCAGCCAGTTTTAATGCTCATCAAGTGTTAAGTATCTGTACTGTTTAAATTTATGAGTCAAAATCTAATTTTACCCCTAGGTTATTTTTTAAAAAAATATTATTCTTAAATTATTGATCATAATAATATTATTTTTAAATTAATTAAATTAAAGTAACGTTGCTCTAACTGTTTAAACACTGATATTGTAGTTAATAAGACTCACATTTTATTAATTAAAATATAATTTTATCTTTAAATTAATCCTAAATAAGTAATGTTGTCCTTACTATTTAAAAAAATAAAATTATAACAATATTAAATGTATATATAAATTTAAAATTATACTAATATTAAATGTATATATAAAATAAAAATAAATTAGATATGTAAATATAACAATATTTAATATTAAATAATATTAAATTTATAAATTATAATTTCATAACTTATCAAATATAACTAAATTTTGGTTCAATCAAATATAAATAGACTCAAAAATATCTGTATTTACACCTACAACTATTGACATTTTTATAAAAAAGGTCTTAAATTATATTTTATACATGTGAATTGTTCAAAAATAAAGCTGGCTTTTAGTATAATTTAATTTTTGAATTTTTTTTATTTTTTAAATTTTTTTAACTTTTGTATATTATGTTTAAAACCATCGTATTTTTTAAAAATCGTTCCCATTTCTAATTCAACTTCAGTTTTTGGCCTGATAGCGGTTTAATTCTTATCCAATCCAACTCAATCATAAAAATAATTTTTTTGATCCAAGTCGAGTCATTAATGATGGCTCTGATCAATAGTTATAAATACAAATGCAGATACTTTAAATATACTCATATCTAGCTTAACTAAGATTAACTTATATTTAATAAATTATAAAATTATAATTTATAATATTATTAACTTATGAATTTTTATTAACATACTATAATTTTTTTTGTTATTTCTTTTATAGACACATTTAATAGTATTATAATTATATATATATATATATTTAATATTATTTTATTTAATTTTATTATATTTTTATTTTTATTTAATTTGATTGTTAAATGCTGAGGGCAATACGGCTCCTCTAATAATAATTTAAGGGTAAAATTATACTTTAACTCATGAAAAATGAGTTTTATTAGCTACAATAATGGACATTTAAATCAGCAAAGACAACATTATTCTGATTTAATTAGTTTAGGGGCAACATTATTGCAATAAATAGTTTAGAAAAAATACTATTCCTCCGACAATAGTTTAAAAAAAATTGCACCTCAATCCTAAATTTATTGATTTTGTATTTTTGATTTATATCTATTATAAAAAATTATAAAGTTTTAATAAATTTACTTTATCATCAATAACAATATAGGTTTGATTTGAATGGTTTAATCTAATATTAATTTTTTAAATTTTTTATAAATTAAGTATCAAAACATATCTTCGATAGACAATTTATAAAAATATTAAAGAAATTAATATTAAATTGGACCTATTATGCAAATGAATGATAAGGTAAATTTATTAAAGTTTTATATTTTATACCTTAATAAATATAAAATAAAATTGATAAACATAAATCATCCAGATTGGCTCATCACCTTTGGGAGATGACGATGAGCACTGAAACTATACGCGGGATGGACACATCGGCGTAGAAACCACACGATGATGCAGACGGAGGGTTTGTCATCATGGTGGTTGTGTGGATAGACTAGATTACCCGATGGAGTGACAATCGAGATCTTTCCGTTTTGGAGGATTGGATTGCTTTCGTTTTCTTGCCAGTTTCTCTGCATTCATTTTGTAGTGTCTCCTGAGATCTTGATGTTTTGAAATTAAAATAATTTTTAGACCCGAGAGATTATACAAAAGTGAAGCTTCTGTGCATATTATTCTCTCTCATTGTTATGTGTTCACTTGTTTTGTCAATCCCTTTTCACACGTCCACTTTCAATTCTCAACTCAAAAAATTTTCAACTACGCCTTGTGTTTCGCGCTGACTCAACATGCACCCACACACATTTTCTCCGTCCCCCCACACTGTGATTCAACGCTTCCAGGCTCACATTGTTTCTCTTGAACCAGTTTCAGTCTTTCTCATTAAACGAGAACGGCCTAGAATTGTGAATGAGATTGGTGTTGGAATATTTCATGCATAAGGTGCATCTGCATTAATTGATTATTTGGACAGAAATGTGTTGACTTTATATGATATAGTGTGGAATGTAAGGCCACTTGCGCGATCTTACTTGAACAAAAAATCAACTTACGACTTCTAACTATCAGTTTTCTCTCCATCGC